CCCCCCCCCCCCCCCCGCACGCCACGTGCACGGACACCTTTACGCGGTATGAGAGTGGAGACGAGACGGCACGGGTAGGGGGGCGACGGGTAGGCGCTGGGCCCCACGAGGGCCCCACATCTAGCTCGCCTTCCATTCGTCCAGCATTCGCATTAAATTCCATTATGGCAGTTCCTGATCCAGGAGGACGGCATTCAGGCCTTCTGGCTCCCGTTGCCATCTCTTTGCTGCTTGCCATCTGCTTCCAGCCCTCCTGCTGCCTGATTGACGAATGCCTCAATGACATCAGCGTGACCAGATCAACGTGTGCCGGTCTTTCTCTGTCGAGCGGCGAACGCGTCAAGTTTGACCCCACGTGCGAGGCAACGACGACTGGCTGCGGTGTGCAGGGGCACTTATGTTGTCGGTACTGTGATTTCGGATCTTATGACGGAATCTCTTGCGAGGAGACGCCCTTCTGCAAAGCCAGTGAGAAGGCGTCAAAGGGAACACCGACGCTTGAAGATGGCTGTGTTGCATGTTGGATGCATTCATCGACAGGCTGCTATCAGTTTGATGTGGCCTACACGTATTCGACTGACAGTTCGCACCCCCGCAGACTCTCAACATCAGGGGGCTGGAAAGATACCACAACCAAGGAAACCGCCGTCGTCCGCTGCCAGCAAGAGTGCCTGGCGGAACCCTCCTGCACGCACTTTACTGTGTCCACGCACATGGGCCACGCGCAATGCGGTCACTTTGAAATGTATGCATCCGTCTGTACTCACGCTTCAACAGCGGATACTCGCGCCACACAATTCCTGTTCTGTATTTGCAGCTATCCTGGCGATATTGATTCGTTCAAAGATGAGCCCGGTGCCATCAATGGCAGAGGCGATTGTTCAGGTGATTAAATCGACTATTCGAAACCATCTGACAAGAGTAGTGGGCCAACGCGTGTGTTGCAGCGATCGAGGCTGACGCCACGGACGCTTCTTGCCTTCCCTACTGCTATCTCCCGGCAGCCATGTCTGCTGACTATGCGTATCAAGGCGCCGACTATGCCTGGCAGGGGTTTGGGGGAGAAAACATGATATTCTCCCCGTCCAGTGCGCGTGCCTGTCTCGCCCTCTGCTACAGCCGCAACGACTGCAAGTACATCAACTATCAACAGGACACCGGACACTGCCATCTGCTGAAGCAGCCTTCCTCGGGCGACATCACGATGGCCACCGAGCACGGCACCACTGCTGGATGTGTGACCGGCAAATGCAGACGTATTCGTTCTTGCGAATGGAAACACCACTGACTGCTTCCTTTTTTGTGTGTGTGTGTGTGTTTCCCGCCTTTTCACTTCAGTCGCCGTCACGCTGCATCAGATACAATATGCAACGGACCCTTTTGGGTGGCGGCCACTTGACGATCTTGCCATCGAAGCGACCAATGCGCCCGAGTACACACACATCCCGGCGCATTCCTTCAGCGGCGGCTCGGCGATGGAACAGATGCTTACAGATGCCTCCGACACCTACTGGGAAGGCTCGTCGGTGGACGGCTCGTCCGACGTCTTCCTTATCAATTTTACTTCTGCTGCGTACATTGGAGGCGTAGAAATCTCGTTTGACAAATACGAGAAGCGCAAGATCATCCCGCGGCTGGTCGCCCAGCCACACACTCCGAAGACGGTCGAGGTGTGGTACGGGGACAGTGGCGCGGGAATGATGCAAGCCGCGGAGGTTACCGACAATGACCAGGTACACCGAGGGCCGGGCCATGTCTCTTGTACCTAGTTTCTTGCTGCTTGTCTGCAGACATGGCTCCACGTGCGTTTTCCCTACGTCCACACGGACGAGTTGGAGATAAAGCTGCTGCAGACCCACGGGGAAGTGCCCGTGCGTGTGTACGGGCTGAGGATTCTGGGCGCGCCCCATGGTAAGTCACAGAGACATGAACCACAAGCAGCTGCACGGCATGTCGGTCACTCTTGTCGGCGTCATGCAGTGCCTTACCTGACCCACACTGACTATGACTGCACGGGGGGCGACCGCAGTGTGCTGGGGTCTGGTGTAACGAAAAAAGTTTGTTACAACAGGTACGCAAACAGCACCCATGTCGTCTTCCCGCTGCAACGGCTGTCTGTCTTAACGTGTACGTATGTCGCTTCTTCGCAGCTGTTCAGAGTCCTCGGCGTGCTTTTGTGCGGTGTTCAGCGGTAGCGGCGGCTCGAGCAGATGTGAGGCGACAAATAGCACCAGCTTGGTGCCCGCAAGCGGCTTCGACGCTTTTGTCAAGCAAGAGCCGTGTACGCATGAAGCTGACTGCGTCTATCTTTCTCCAGCCATCTTCCTCTGTCTGCAGTCAGACCAGCTGTCAAAGTGGCCATGGTCAATGCAGAGGATCAGGCGGCGCGTGTCACTGCGCCGCAGTATGTCTATGTGACAGCTCAAGCAGATAACAACTGTCCAACCTTTGGACAAGGTCGCGACAGCACAACACGGGACCGCACAGCGCATGCTTGTTCTCATTAAAGTGAAAGCGTGTTTGGCCATTCTCTCTGTTCAGTCGCATCTGAGGGTGACAGTGTTCCGATGATTGACGTCGAGACCGGGCCGTACTTTGGCGTCCACACACGTGAGGAGTACAGCTTCAAAGGTCGATGTCACATGTCTCTCTCTCTCTTCCTCTCTCCCTCAGAATATGTGACGTGTCCGAACAAGAGCATGGCCTTTGCCCGCTGTGCAATGGTGCCAAATATTCCGCTTGCGCCAGCAAACTGTGAAGCTCTCGGGTGCTGCTACGACTATGACCTACAAGAATGCTACTCGCTCGATCCCTGTAAGGACGCCGCGAGCGGAGAAGCCAAAAGAAGAATGCCTACAGACATTTCCGACATTTACTGTTGTCTGTCACTCCTCCCTCTGTCAGTGTGGGACGTCACGGGAACGTACGCCTCCCCCACAAACCCCCAGGAAACAATACGTCTGACGTACAGTAGCTCGACAAACACCTTCGTCTACGGGTACAGCACCTCAGGCCCCCCAACACACCAGTACACCGTCATACCGAGAGGCGTTGTGGTGAGTGAGACATACAAAGTATAAGGCTTGCATGTGCTTGCTGCCCGTGTGGCGCACAGGACGCATACTTGCGCATGGATTTCGAGGCCTCCGCTGCACACCTGAAGGTGGGTGGGTGTCAATTGATTGATGGTCATTGCACGACGACCCTCATGCAGGTTTACAGGCATGAATGCCTTTGGGTCCCAAATCCAGGGGGTTCACCGATGTATTATACCCGGACGGATGGTCCATGTGAGCGACAAGCAGAAACGTATAGGCTGAGCTTTTTTCTCTTCCTCTCTTTTTTTATGTCTCACTGAATGCAGCGAAGATTGTCTATGCGGAGATGGGACATATGACTGGCGTGACCTCAACCGACGAGACACAGGTCACTGTCACACAGGGATTCGCCCAGCCAATTGTGCTGCTCGGCGTCCACATGCCGGCCTCTGCAACCAGCAACATGGCCTCGGCCAGGCCGCGAGTCACACGAATCAGAGGGCCGACAAACGCAAGGAAGACCCTGAGCACGCAGACTGGATGGTATGCATGGAAGCAGCCCATGAGACACCAGCATGAAAGTCATCTGTCGTATTGCACGCGCCGTCAGGTCGTTCTTCGTCACTGCGGAGCAGCCTGCGTGCGCAACAGTCGACTCATCACTGACAACCAGCTTCGACTGGGCCATAGTTGAGAGAGGCCTCTACCAGAAACCAAACCCACAGAGGGGCCTCGACCTCATAGAAGTGGGGTCTGTCGTATTTCCCGCCGACTTCGTTGTCGGGACCGCCACGCCAGAGGCCATCACGTACGCATCTGATGGCTGGAGACGCGTCATTTTCCAGCAGCCCTTTCGAGCAGCGAGCAAGGTGCGGGGCCACTACACGAACGGCACGCCCTATCTTTGTCGACCTGCCGATTTTGTATCTGTGCACATGCACCCAGGTGGTGGTCATCGCGACCGTCCAGCCGTACACTGATCAGCAGAGATTTCTGACTGTCCGCGTCCGTGACGTCACACCTCTTGGGTTTTTGCTGGGCCTTCAGGACGAGAGTAAGGGCAAACAAACAGACAGACAAGCCCGACGGACAGACAGACAATCAAGCAAGCAGCCTGTCGCTGTCTTCCTTCCATGGCCTTTTTGTGTCGGTCTCACAGATGATGGTGTGTTGCTTTCGCTGTCGAACAGTGACATCACCGTGGGCTATCTGGCCATAGAGCATCGCGGGCCTAAGTACAAAAAGAGATTGCTGCATGGATGGATGCACCTGTGATGTTCTGCAGCCTCGCCGTGAGAGACCTGGACGTAGGCGTTCTTTCGCGATCTTCCACCGATCCGCGCTGGACGATTGAATTCAGCCAGCCCTTTCCCAGCGGTCAGCTCTTCCGTTTTGCACAGGTATGAGCACGTACCCACAGAAAAGAACACAACACACAATCTCGATGCGTGCCTTGACAATGCAGTACGTGTCGTATCGGAACGCGACATCCGTTTCGCTCACACTGGAGGTAGGTTTGTCTCCATCAAGGTGCCAGGCATTCATCTGTGAGTGCTTACATATGTGCAGGGCTCCAGTGACAGTGAGATGGAGGGGAAAGACGACACCTCACACACGTGCTTCAATAATTGGCAGCATCCCGAGGACATCCACTGGCTTGTCGTGCAAAGCCGTAGGCTGCAAGAATGGACACCATGCAACTGTACATTTATGTCTCTACTGTCACACATATCAGCTGCCGATCCGACAACTAGCCTGAGCAGCTTCCCTGGGCACACCCTAGTGGCCACTGAGACTGTTCAGCTGACAAGAGGTCTGGCAAGCATCAAGCTGACAGAGACAAAGTCACCGAGGGAGACCATGGCACGCGTCGCTGGGCCGGCGCATCTCAAAGGCGACTCAATACAAACTGTCAGCTGGCTGCCTTGTAAGTCAAGACACACGCGAGCACATCACACCTACATGAAAGTGCTTCAATGTTTCCTTTTTGCGGTGTCCCTCAGTGAACGACAAGCCGACAGAAATCGCAATAGAGTTCAGCAACAACATCGTTGCTGCTGACGCCTATGTCCCAGTATACGTTGGCCTTCTGGACACCCCTAATGGCAACATCGTGGAGACAGGCCTCGACGGATGCACCATTTGCTCGGCTACCGTCAACATTGCCGCCGGGCTGAACTGTCTGCTGTACCGGACTCCCGACGGCGGAAGCGATGTGCGCATCGAACGAGGCATTGGTGTCTTCGAGGTCAGTTTCGACGAAGTCAATTGCGATCTGCCGGCTCGACAGGTCAACATACGTGTGAAACACGAAGTGGCATCTGGGCAGTATATCGAGACGAGCAAGACGCTGCTTGTTACCAGTGAGTGGATGCATGTGTGAGTTTTCACACCTGCCTGTACGCACACACATTCTGGAAATGTCTCTTTCGCGGCAGACAAAGTGGTGTATACGGTGTGGCCCGGGGGCGATGACTACGCCACGGCTGGGCAGCCCTTCACTGTGAACCTGCAGGCCGCCAGCTATACTAGCGGGGGGCCCGTCGACGACCCCACTGTTGAGACCAATATACTCGCAATCTTGCAAGGAACCAACGCTGTATTTGACCCCTGGAACATGGAGTGGTATGTGCAGCCCATATTGAACTTCTGCAAAATGACGAACGGTTCGTTGGCAGCGAGAAGCGACAGTGTGTCTGTGCATTGGGCATTTGCTGGCTCTTGGTTTCCTGAGATCTATCTTTGCAGGATTTTGTCCATTGACGGTGAATGCAGCCACAAGCGGGGCTGTGACGATCAACCCTGTTGATGGGACAGGGCAAGCATATGATGTCATGGAGCAGATACAAGGTGCGCGCGGACACACAGACCCACTCTGTCTCACCTGTGAGTGCGAGTCAATGTGTGTGAAGGCGGGACACAAACGGTGACGTACAACTCGACCCGCACGAACCGCTATATGCTAGGAAGATCGTTCTGCGTCCTGCCAAGTAGGCAGCCATGGTTGCCAAAGGCGAAAGACGAGTTGCCTCATTCTTCTCTTCTTCCGCCGTCTCCTTTTGTATCCGAATCGATAGCTTCACCGCAGCAAGTCGCAGTCACTGGCCCGGCAAATGCGGCTGCGAATCAGTCGATCTCGGTCATTATACGAGCAGAGGACGCCCATGGCAATGTGCTTCCCGAGGCCATGGGCACGATCAGCGTCTATCTGCGGGATGACGAGAATCGGGTCTCTGCCGCCCTTTTGATCGAGCCGTCAACTGCAGTGATATCCCAGAACATAGCAGCCGGAACCGCCGACATCGCGATCGTGCACGGCGTGGCCAGCATCTCGGTGCAGAGCACAGGCACAAGCCTTGAGCTGCGAGTTGGGACGATGGATATGAGGGACACCAACTATGCTCTTACTGGCAAGACAGTCACGTGGATCAATCAGGCGGCGCTTATCATAGGCATCGACTTGCCAGGAAAAGGCGTGCCGATTGATGTGATTCTCAGCGGCGTGGCGGCTACTGTCCCTGCCGGAGACACGGCATCCATCACCATGTCGTCGCGGGACACTTATGGAAAGCCGGCTTCAACCACCATGAGCATCCAACTATCGATTGTGTCCACAGAAGAGACAATTGGCCCGCACAGCATCTCCTTCGCAAGTCAAGACACTGTCACCTTCACTTATGTGTTCACGCAAGTCGGGTCGTACAGCGTGAGCATGGCGAACCCCTCTCAAGCACTTGATGTCTCGAGCACTCTAAGTTTCTCTGTCGTCCCCGGAGCCGCTGACAGCCTCGCTATCAGCGTGCAAGACAACACTACCTTTCTGGTCGGCACCTCCGTCGCACTCACTCTCACCCTGACAGACGCCTTCAACAACACCGTCAGCTCGAGGTCAGACGATGTGAGCATCGACTGCAGCCTGGACGCGAATTCTGTGAGTGGAGTGGAGTTCGGGGATTGTGGGTTGACCACCACCCTCTTCAAGGGAGTTGCGACGATCTCCGCAGCATCAAGTCAGGCGGGGCTTCTTAATGTGTCTGTTTCGTCTGTCACGGACAACGCTCTTAGAGGATCATCCTTCCAACTCGCATTTGCCGAAGAGCTGCCGAGGCCGACTGTCAGCCTCGTTCTCACGGGACCTGCTCTCACCAACCAACAGGCTGTCACTGTTGTGGCAACATTTACTGAGGCCATGGATCCGAGCACATTCACAGCATCAGACGTAACGGCAACGAATGCTACGGTGGACAGCGTCCAAGCCCAAGACAGCGGCCACAAGATGTTTGACATACACATATCCATCCAAGCGGACTCTTCTGCATCGATCTTCATCCCTGACGGGGCGGCAGTGGGTGTGTCCTCGGGGAGGACCAACACAGAGTCGAACACGGTCAGCGTCACCAACGATCTAACGCCGCCGTCCGTGTCTCTACACCTGGACGACAGCAGCCAATCCATCCGCACCACCGACGCCTCGTCAACGGATGGATACTTCAATCTGTCGCTTACTTCCACGGAGCCCGTCGCAATCCAGAGCCCTGTTCTCGACGCTGCGCTGCAAGCTGCGAATCTTGGTCTGGCCTCTGTCCCGCCCGAGTCGGTGTTTACCAACGAGTGGTTCTTGCTGGTCCGGAGGAGCATTGCAGGAACATCCGCACTGGAGGTGCCTGCTGGAGTGGTGCACGACCAGGCGGGAAACGGCAATGCCGAGGCGTTCTCCCTGCAGCTCGAATATCGTCCGAAAGACGCGGCAGCCGTCGTTGACTCTCTGCGCGTCCCGGGATCGACCGGCCTCACACTGAGTGTTGGTCAGACATTCAGTCTGGAACTCACCGGCACCAACATGGACGAGACCAGCGACCAGATCCTCTACGCGTACCTGCCGCCGAGCCTCCACGACGACAGCACCTTATCCCAATCTGCCTTCTGCGTCGCCGTTGCTGACGCCGCCATCGCCAACAAGGCCGTTGACCAGAGGCTGGCGTGCACGGGAGAGGCGACACAAGTCACCTGCGGGACAACAAAGACGCCTCCGCTGCCTGTCGGTACACATGAGGGTCGGCTCGCTATCTGCTATTGTGACGCCAGTCAGCAGAGGGATGAGTCGTGTGATATCAGCGGGGAAGATGCTGATGCTCTGCATGCCAAGTACACCACGGCACCTGGACATGGGCGAGTCCTCACTGTCATCGAAGGTGAGTGAAATTCGACGCCAGTAGTCGAGGGAGCACTGTATGTACATGGGCATTGCAGGTTGTCCTGACCAGTGTCCGGAGGGCTACGAGTGCATTACGACTGCTGATGACGCTGGCAACTTCTTCCACTCGTGTGTAAGCAAGAGACATGGACGCTGGCCAGATGGAGGCCAGAAAGAAGAGATGCTTCACTGTTTTCTTCGCCATTCCCATGTGCAGCAATCTCTTTGTGGAGACGCGTTCAAGACCGAAGCGGAAGTCTGCGATGATGGTCACACACACACACACGCACGCACACACACACACACAGTACGCCTGTAATGTATCTGCTGTGCTATTGCTTACTTGCTTCAACAACGCAGGCAACTCTGTCTCGGGCGATGGTATGTACCAGTGAACGTTGGTGGATTCATACACTTTGTGTCTGTCTTGCTCGTTTTGTGTTGTTCAGGCTGCGCAGCTGACTGTTTGGCGATCGACGAAGGGTGGACGTGTACGACCAATATTGGAGAGCCATCAACGTGCACCCGTCTGTCCGCGTGTGACATGGCGACGGGACCTCTCCTCGCGGGCTGGCACATCTGCGACATGTCCTCGACATCCCCGCCGGACAAACTTGTCCTTTGCCATAAGATGGAGTGCGATCTGGCGGGGCAGACAAGTGCCACCACCACCATTGGCTGCAAAGCATCGCCCACTGAGTCATTCTTATGCGAAGAGCTGCCCCTGCCGACTCTGCTGTCCATCGACTTTATTACGGGCTTCTCGGCTCTCCTCGTGTCGTTCGACGTTCCTTTGGCGGTTCTCGGCAGCGACAATGCTCTCACTCCCGTCACTCGTGGCGGTGGAGATCTGTGCGGCATCTTCACTGCCGAGAGCTCGGCATCATTTGGCACTGACCCGCAGTGCATCGCCGTATCTGACCGGATGATTGCAGTCCTTTTCGGTGACTCCCCGACTGCCAAAGTTGGCCAGCTGATCACCGTTAACGACGCCACGATTGCGCGAGCCGAGGCAGCGATGAGTGAGGCCTCTCCCCTTCCCACAGGCTGGTTCCTCTCTGACGTGTCAAAGCAGATCGGCGTACAGGCAGGTGTGATCCTTCCCGTGCTCTTCGCTACTGTTTTGAAGCGACCAGTGTACTCCATTTGCGACAGCGTGGCCGCTGTCGATGTGTACTTGAGTGGCGGCAGTGGGCGTCCTCTTGACGTTTCGTGGACGTGTCTCGAGCCGGTCGCCGCGTGCTCCTACCTCAATGATCACATCTCATCCACCGAAGGTGAGTCCGGAGATTCACCTTGCATGTCGCCTACCACCAGGAGACAACCGTACAGCCCCCTGTGACCTTACATGTGTGTGCACTGTGCAGGTCTCGCCAGCACTAGTTTAGTGCTTACCCCTGAACAGATCCGTGCAGCGGTCGACGCAGACAGCAGCCTGCAAAGCACCGACGTCGTGCGCTTTGTGTTTGAGATCAATGCGACGAATTTTCTTTCGTCACGGCTGAGGGAAGAGATTTCCATCGACGTCGACATCAGGCAAAGCGTCAGCTATCCAAGCCTTGTTCCTTCGTTGGGCAGCCCAGCTATCTCCAGCCAACACGTAGGCACGAAAAGCGCGCACTCACACGCGCCGAATGGTATTTTCTGGATAGGTGGATGAGCCTCTTTCACTTCGAGTCGTCTTGGCAGACACCAGCCAGGATGCCCAACAATCATGTCCCTCGACATCGGTCTCAAGCGCGAGCGATGTCGTTGTCGAGTGGCTATACAGGCAAGCGGCCAGCGAAGCGGGCGATGACTCGTTGGTGTCTCTATCTGCTAACAACACATCTGGCCACCAGCTGAAAATCTTGCTCCAGCCAGATACCTTGCAGCCGTTTTCTTCGCTGATAATCGTCGCCCAAGCCTGGTACAAGGACTCCCCTGAGCACCGAGTGTCGGTCGAGTTTCGAGTCGACGTCGGTGGCTACTCTCAACCGGTTGTCAGTCTCACAGCGCCGACAGTCGTTGGAGACCGCTGCCCATTCTCGCTGTCCTACAACGTGGCTGCACCTCCGGCTGCCGCTCTCGGTCTCAAGTGGCAGTGTTTCAAGATCAGCGACAACACCCAGGAGTTGCGCGCAACGACGTTCGCCAGCCAGATAGCGGATCGATCAGCCAAAGATGCTCTGGATCTCCTTACGTCATCTTCTCTCGTCGAGTCGTGCACAGGTGCAGCCTTCTTTGATGGAGAAACGACAACTACGACCAGCCACAAGGGGGAAAGACCAGTCGAGGGCACTCGTCTGTCTGCCAGCGTTGTATTCTTTGCTCTGACGGCTCACATCGAGAAAGATGGCACAACGGTCAGCGACGAAGGGCCGGCAGTGACGAAGGTGGCCTTCACCAGCTCCGGCGAGCCTCCGCTCGCCCTTTCACCCATTCCGAAGAAGTGAGGATCAGACGGAGGCTTTTTCACACACTGGCATGTCATCTTTCTTTCGTCGGTTGCAGGGTGTCTTCAAGGCAAGAACGTGTCAACGTGGTACTCTTCACCCCATCGACGGAGGCGGCAGGCATCCAGTGCCAGTCACTTTCCACGGACACAGTGGAGTGGTGGCTCCAGAGAGCGGATGGGAGAAGCATTACGAGCGAGACGCTGCTGGACCCGTCAGAGGCCCTGACGCAGGCTCAGAGCAGGATTGTTCTATTGAAGCAGGGGATGGAAGCGGCTCAGATCGGCCAGATAATTTCTGGGGTCGCTCTTGATATGGATGCGCTGGACATTGGGCAAACATACCGCGTTGCGGCGAAGCTCTCGGCTGACCAGACAATTGTCTCAGATGCTTTCTTGATGGATCGTCCCCCCTTTGGCGGCCACATTACCGCGAGCAAAACCACAGTATCGACATTCGAGACTGTCCGATTGGAGATGTATGGCTGGAAGGACGATGACGACATTGATGAGCTGGTACACACAAAGAGATAAACTCATCAAGACGTCTCCCACCATACACACATACGCGATTTGTTGCACCTGCGTCGCTTCTCTATCAGGCATTTGCCTTTTATCGAGCGGCTGCCGGCGACGATCAGTCCAGCAGCAGCCCCATCAGAATGTGCCCATTTTCAAAAGCGAGCGAAGGGGGGCTTATATGTGAGCGACCGCTGCCTAAGGGCCGTTGGACGCTCTATGGTGTAGTGCGGGACGCACACGGCTATCAGTGTCAGATGCAAGGGAACATGGTTGCTGCTCGGCAAGACGCGCTAGCGTGTCCGTCTGTGGAAGTAACCAGTGAAGCTGTGAAGGCTGGTGATGTGTCCGCTGGAGACATCACAAACGTTCTTTCTGCAGTAAGTACCTCGTCAGCCAATTCCGCGTCTCGGCACACGCATGCGCCTGCTGTGCTTGATTACAACTTGCAGGCTCTCCTGAACGCTGACGCATCGGGCATTCTCAGCTCGTGCAGTCAGGTGGCCGATTCGATAGTGATGCTTCTTCAGGCCCAGCGATCACGTGGGGAGACTCAAACGCAGCTCATCAGTGGCACGCAGCTCATCAGTGGCTTGTTTGACGCAATCAAGGTGCGTCGTCGACATTCCTTCAGCCTCTGTGCATATGTTGTTGTATGCGTATGTAACATGTGTGTGAGTGCAGACGTCTCAGGGGCTAGGCGAGGATGAGGTGTGCGTGGTATCACAGGTGATAGAGGAGGTACTCTCAGCAGGCCTCTCTAGCCACCTTGACCATGACATGCTCGACAAAGGGTCCGTAACCGAACACGCATACAAATTTCCGTATACTAATTGAGCATATTCGTTCGTTCAGCGCCGAGCTGGTGGCCGGCCAGACCCGGGCTCAGACAGGCAAGTGCAGTGCGGCAAGTGATGACACCGAGGCCGCCACAGCCGCAAGAGGGGCCGTACTTGGAGTGAGTGAGCACCGAGCGTAAATGAGGAACGCGCTCCACGCTTTCATGCATGTACTAATGATGTGCGTCTCTTGCTGTCTTGCGGTCTGCAGAGCCTGTCAGCCCTGACGGAGAGGCTAGAGGCCACCGCCGATTTGAGCAGCCAGTCCAAAGAGATATCCAGCAGGTGTCTCGAGGCGGGTCAGAGCCTGGCAGCCGATATCTCTGACGAAGCCGTTGAGGGAGAGGAGCAAAGCGTTGAGAGAGGCGGGCTGAAGGTCCTTGTCATGAAGCGGAACAAAGACGAGTTCGTCCAGACGGGCATGAGCGCGGGAGCCGTACGTGTGATGAATCAAATGCGAGAGACACATACCCATTCACACACACAAGTGATTTCATGTGCTGTGGTCTGATGCAGGGCAGCCTCGCGTTCGCTGGGGGTGATGACATGCTGCTGTTCGATGAGCTAGCGCCGCAGTCGGCTCTCGACGGGCCGATATCTGTCAGCCAGATGGACTGGAACGCCAACCCATTCGCTTTTGCACCCGCAGCCAACGCAACACTCGGACACGTGAGGACGATTCAGCTCAAGTGCAATGGCCGATCGCTCAACATCGGGAGGCGAGATACCGGCCGACGTCTCGATGACACGGCAGAGGATGCACCGCGTCTCGTCAACTTCACCATGGCGTGCCCGAACATCACGAATGCAACGTCAGCCAGTGATGACTCAGAGGTGCGTTTGTTGCAGCGCAGCTACGATCAGGTGTCTGTGATGGGCCTCGACGCCACCCTCTCGCCGCTGATTAGTCTAGACGTGTGGGCGCTGCTGCCGCAAAGCATAGACCACGAGGCAACGATGAGGAGACGCCTGTTCAAGGTGAGCACCTGACAAACAAATACGTCCATTGGAAGCAAAGTCGAGTTTCCTCTGCTTGTCACTCATACGTGCAGCTCCCAGGCGTGAGCACTTTCAACCCGAGCGTGAACCTGGAGGGACCGCCTGCACTTCAACCGGGGACCACCTTCAGTTGGGAGAACTTCACAGAGTGCACCTGCCAGTTCTTCGACGAACGGAGCGGCAACTGGTCGAGAGAGGGCTGCACCGAGCTCGAGAGCAACGGAAGTCATGTGACATGCAGCTGCGACCATCTCACCAGCTTCGTTGCTGCTGCCAAGCAGTCCACGAGAAAGTTCGAGAGCTCGAACATCGGCATCGTCGGGGAAAGCGACACGCTGCTGCAGGGGCTCGCCGAGAGACCGCACCACTTTCTCGGCCTTGTTTTCGTCCTTGGCTTGCTCTTTTCCCCCTGCATATATCTGAGAACACGAGACAGGTGGCCGCAACACTTGGAGCAGAGCACTGCGTGCGATTCGACCTTCACTGCTGCTTGCCGATGTTTTCTCCTAGACACGACTGGCGTTCTCCCCGCAAACGCCAACATATCTTCTTCCAAGACCGCTACGCCCGCAAAGACATGGATTTCCTCTGTATGATCTGCCCACCTTTTCGGTAAGCATGCAGACGGATAGCCGATAGCCGGAGGGCAGGTCGATTCAGTGCAAGTGCAATGCGCTATGTGCGTGTCTCATTCAGTTTTTTTGGCGGGATGATTTTCGTGGCTCCCGTGGTCATCAACGTGACGATGATCGGCCGATGGATAGGCTATTTCTGCTGCTTCGGCTGGTTGACGTCAATCCTTTACCGAGAGCGGCCCTTCTCAGAGGTGACGAAGCATACAGTGCCCACTCTCTACGGCAAGGATAAGCAGGGGGCTGACGGGGAAGACGATGAGGGCCTGGTATGCAAAAGGGATGAAGCGTGTATATCAAGGGACATGCGCGTGTCTGCCTGTCTGCCTGCCTGTCTGTCTGTCTGTCTGTCCGTCATCAGGACGAGGACGAGCATTCGCCGCTGACCCACATGAAGAGCACCTTGCAGGCGAAGAAAGCCATGAAGGACATGCTGGACACCCAAGCTGACAAGGCGGGGTCAGATCAACAGCTTTGGTACAACGTGCAGAACAAAGAGTACAAAGATGTACAGGTACATAGCTCGGCTCGGATGACCACGTCTGTCTCGTGTCTAAGTGATCCGATTTCCGTCTCGCAACCGTCAGGCTCGGCTAGCCGCATCCCTGCTCACGCTCCGAAGTGTGGCTCGCCGAGGCAGGCGCTACAGAGTGATGGAGGAGGAAGCCCAACATGGAGCGGCCATGGTTGACGACGACCGTACGCCCATACACACGAATGACACAAATGGGGACGTCTCTTCAACCCGTGTGTGTGTCGATGCAGAGGCATCCACGTCGGACATGCGCCAGACTGTAACCGCGGCGTCGACCATCTCTTGTGCCACCTCACGCAAGGACCCTCACCGATCGCACAAGCCGATGACGGACGGCGGCCAGTCGGACTTCACGATCCCTGTAGCCGCTCGGCCTCTCTTCTTCGTCTTTGGCCTCTCACCTGAGAGGGAGGTGGAGCTGCGCAGCACTGCCATGCAAGTCGCTCACGCCGTCGCGAGCTTTGCTAACATCAGCAACGAGAGAAAAGCAGAGAAGCTGTTGCAGGGAGATGAAAGTGGGTGCACACACGTTTCGTTCCCATTTCTCACACCGATTCACACGCTTTTTCCTGTTCTGTCGATGCGTGATTGTTTGCAGTGAGTCGTGGCCGCTCGTTCAGGAAGATGTCACAAATCTACAAAAGGAGACAGGACTATGTAAGTTTGCGCATACAAAGGAGATGAAGAGCTTCATAATATCCTGGTGTTTTTCTTTGTGACAATTTGCCATAGTTCACGCGCCAGAAGCAAATGTTCGCCGCCTTGTTAGATGCGCAAGAGAACAACACAGCATACAGCAAAATGCGGTAGGCTTCTCGCATACATTACATGTTGGAAGGGGAAGAACAGGAGTGCTCAATTTGTCACATGAATGAATGTGCGCAGCGCCGCAGAGATCCGTTTGTCTTCAACTCACCCCGAGTTGGCCGGTGTGAAGCGCGGGTTGACCGCCGAGAAGCAGTCTCGCTATCTGCCCCCGTTGGGAGCCATTCCCGTCTTTATCCGTCGAATGAAGAAGAACGCTCTCTTTCTGCCGGCACACGACTTCACCTTTGAGGCCGTCATCAACGTGAGCCAGTGTCGCATGATCTTTCACGCTGTGTCTCAATGCATGTCTCCATGTATCGATGCAGGTGGGTCACATTAGTGGAAGCGCCGAGAACCTGTATGAAGATACCCGACACCTGCTGTGGGTACGTTTACGTGTAATGAGAAGAATCGTTTACGTGTCGGCCCGTGTGGGTATTCAGCTGACGGACAAGGGCAGGATGGTCTGCGTTCATCCCGAGGCAGCATTTGCCGAGGGGCTTCTCCAACCCATGGTGCACTTGAACAAACAGACACACAGATATCAATATGTTTGCTTCACACATGCCCCGTGTGGACCAGATCGACTTTGAGGGCCCGAGACACATTCTGGCAGTGGATCGAGTGGTTGTCGAGATTGACGACTCCGTCCCCGAGCAGACCGTGGTGCGCTTCTACGTCCGCAAAGGTTCCAACGAGATCGTTGACAGCGACACAGACCAGGACGCAGCCCAGGAGAAGGCATCGAGCATCCTCAGTCGGCACAAGGCTCCTACGTCACCGTCCGGACAGGATTTGAGCTTTGCAATGGAGTTGGAGACGACCTCACCGGGCAACAACCTGCAGTTCCTGACGCAGCCGCCGCTCTTTGCCAACAAGAGCTACAGTTGGAAGCCGGTGCAGTCGACAGAACAAGAAAAGGCTGCATGGGCCTCCACGACATATGAGATCGCCCACGATATTGGCACTTCACCCCTCTTCATCCCATCCACAGCGCTCGACGCCTACTGCCCGCAGCTCGGCCTGTGCTCGCTCTGGTTGTCACACAATGGGAACGTTCTCAATATACTGCCGCGGTCAGCCCATCCAGCCAGAAGACACTCTGTGGAGAGACGGGGCTCAATCGGCAGGATGAGCCAGGGCACGACGCAGACGGCCCAGACCGTCCGGTCGTTCTTCCGGCTTCCCTTCGGCGGCGACAGAGAGGGGAAGGAGCAGCAGCAGGATGCCGAGGGCCTCAAGAAGAACGAGGTGGTATACACGGTATACGCCGTCTTCATGTCTCACATCGAGTCGCTCAAGGAGATGGAGGGAGACGAGGCGGATGCAGCCGAAGGGCAGATGGGGCTGGAGGTCTCGCATCTTCCATCGGTGAAGCTCTCCCTGACCAACAAGACCACCGTGCGTCTCTTCTTCTCCAACTCGGCATTCGCGAGCTCCTTCGCTGCGACCGTCTCCCGACTGTCGTCCGCGACACGCAGCAAGACCCACGCCGGCAACAGGAGACGCATCACGATCTTCGCAGACTTCGACGACCAATCTGAGACGAAAAAGAAGGCCGCGGTCAGGCAGGCAGCTATGGCGCGGTCGGTCACCTTCTCCGCAAAAGACCCAGACACTTCTCCCAATCAAGCCATCTCCGGGAACCGAAGACTGTCCGCACTCGACGTCGCGGGGCTGTTCGGGCTCGAGACGCAGACCTCGGCCGCCTTGGACTCTCACATCCCCAGCGAAGAGGTCATTGCGTCTTTCTTCGACGATGCATCACCTCAGCAGACACCAACGCAGACGGATGACCCAGCTGTCTTCAAGACAGGCCTGACAATTGCTTCCTTCGGTTTTTTCGAAAACACATTGGCTGCACCCGCCGCGGCTACCTTCCGCCCCACCCGCGGCCACGGTAGTCCCTCTTTGCGCAAGCGAAATCCAGCGGGCTCGCCACAATCATCAGAGGCGTCGAACCAGGCCGCCGGCGACCAGCAGGTTGACCTGGTCATCTCATCATCATTCCAATCTCCCTCGCAGACCGTGGAGCTGCGGCCCGACGTGGGGACGCAGAAGGCAGACACGCAGCCGCCGGCCTTGATACACCACGACACGGAACATGCGGCTGAGAAGCCACCACTGCAGTTGTCGCTCCCATTGGCGAGCGAGCGGCTCAAGGCGCCGGCGGACGGGGCGGATAAGGTGGAGAGCGAGGTGGCGCCTGGTCGGTGCGGCGATTGTGGCAGGTGCTGCAAGTATATGCACGACCAGCTCGTGCGGTTTGAGCAGTACCAGAACGACACCGTCGTCTACACCTGGGAGGCAGTCAACCTGAGGGCGGCCATCACACAGCAGACCAAGAGGAACCAGGTAAGGTGCGGGCAGTGAGTGGGCTGAGAGGAAAGATGTAGCAGAGACACGGGCAAGTGACGTACACTCACATTTCACATTCGCCTTCATGCCGTCGTGTCAGAACTTGATCCTGGCCAAGGTGAGTGGAGAGGGGGGAGAGGAGAGCCACATACAGACAGACACACACTTGAAGGCGCATACGTATGAACCAACATGTGTGTGTGTGTGTGTGTGTGGTTCAGCGTCTCCAATATCACGATGTCAGTCAGATGAGATCACGGTCTTGGGTATTAGGCCATGCACTGACTCTCCTTTGTTGGCGGTCCATCTGATTTCTTTGGATGGGTGTCTCAGTGGGGGCCGAGAAAGCTCGTCACAACAGTGGCCATCCGAGAACACCCACGTACGGCTGGCTACACGCGTGCCTCATACATGAATGAATGTGTCTCATCTACCTGTCTGTGGATGAATTCAGTGCCCAAGGTCCTACCGTATGACCCCATCATCTCACGGTGAGTGAGTGAACAGACGCACGGCACATCGAGATCATCAGAGGCCTTTTCGTTAATAATGCAGGACGCAGCGGTATTCGGTCGAGTTGTCGGGTATCCTCACGGAGCTCTTCATTTCGTCTCTCTTCTTCAACGCACAATGCGCATTCCAGCCATCACGTACGTAACGTAGTCGACCCACCAATGAGCACAGACCATATATACACTGTAATTAAGATGAAATTTGCCTCGGTACGTACAGCTGACGTGTGTTTCCCGCTGGGCAACCCCTTTATACCGAGCTGGCACGGTGAGACAGACGCACAGCCCAGCAATCTATGTGCGACACACTGCTGTCATTCGGTCATTCATGTATGTCTCTGTCTGTCTCGACTTGGCAGTATTTTTCGCGTCATTGTGGTCGGTGCTTCTGGCCGTGCCCGTGCCGCTCTTCTTGCGCTTCTGTTTCGCCAAGCGGATAGCGGAGGAGACACACACTGCTGCCGAGAAACGAGTGATGTTGCTGTATTGGCGCCTGAAGGACATCCTCGGGTACACTTTCTTGGCGCTGTGGGACAGCTGGTGCATCTACTTTTTGCTCGTCTTCATACTGGTCAGCCGAGCCCGTGGGCAAGAACAAAGACGATAACCTCATTTTCCTACTTTGTATGTCAGAAATTTGACCATGTGCTGGTGTCGAAGTGGTATCTCTCCGCCGGCCTCGCCCTCATGCACCGGTTGGGCATCCTTCGGCACACGCAGCGAGATGGATGTACCATGCTGTTTGTTCTTCTGCTTGGCTCCTACTTACAGGCTGTTCACGGCCCCGGTGATTCGCACCATATGGGTGTCGGCTGTGCTGCTGATCTCCAAGCGGACCTGGGTGTGCGACTTCCTCCTCATGTCCTGCCCAGCACTGATTGCCTTCACGGTGAATGGGATTGGATACACAAACGCACTTCCCTGAAGAAGTCCTGTCCACGTACGTTGTCTGCCTGTCTCTTTGCTTGCTGCCTTTTTGCCTTTCAGCACCCCGACATCAAGAGAGTCAAACGAAAGACATCATCACACAAGCTGGTCAGTGGCCTGATAGCTACGAATGTCAGAGGCCTGAATGGAGGGAGACAGACACACGTCGCTCGTCTTGGTGTCTCGCGCTTGTTTGCAGGAGGGCGAGCACGCGCCGCGGCCAATGCATCCCCCCTCATCCACAGCCATTTCACAAGAGAGACTGCCTTTCGAGAGCTCCTACCATGGAGATGAGAGCGACAGCGATGTCACCGAAGTCTCCCCGATGGTGATACCTCGCACGAGAGCCCAGAAGAAGAAAGAGGCCGAGGAAAGAAAAGACGAGAGCGATCTGACCTACATAGAGCAGCGGAGACGCATGAAGACCGACATCTGAACGCTCAATTGCACACACCACACACATGTTTGACGTCTGCATACGATACATACACATACATCTATTCTAGGAGGGTGCACTCTACCCACAGTACCGTTAGGTGGCAGGGTAGAGTGATTGGGGTAGAGTGATTGATCGATTGAGTCTGTGTGCTTTTGGGAAGGATACGTCGATGTCCTTGCTGTGTGCCCTCTAGGGGGGATAGGCCGCTGTGCTCGTACGTACTGCTTCTGCCCTTGCTGATGAGTGGCCTGTGTTGCAATATAGGTCCATACCTTTGAGTGAGTGGCCGATGGATTTTGCCGCACGCACAAATCTGTGAGGGATACGTACAATAAGCTTGCTGGCCTTCAGAGCGGAGATGACATTGAGTGTGATGGTGCATGCAACACACACACACACTCACAGCTGGCTTAGCTCTTCTCGCTGCTGATGAGTGGTTGTGTCGCTGCACACTGTCCCAATTGGTTTATGGCTTGAAAGGGAGACGTCAGTTGCCATACACACGTTGACTTTCAGCTATTGAGTGAAAAATGAGACATGGAATCGACCCGATGGGTATCCCTCTCACAGTGGATAACAAAGTTAAAGCCAAGAGCAGACAGCAGGTAGCAAACCACCACCTCAAATGCCGTGAGTTGTGTATGATGAAGGAACCTGGATTCAAATAAAGTGTTGTTGACTGTATCGTTCGATTGGCGAGTGCGTCCGCCCATGTATCCATCAATGCACTGTCCACTCACTCATCCACATATGGTACACGGTTCGACAACCATGCACCGCCAAAAGGGCAGGCATATGCTGACAGAAAACCAAGAAAGTGAACCAAAACCGATATCGCATCCATCCATCCATCCATCCATGAGCCATCCAGCCACGCAGACCGCTGCGTCATGTGTCTCTCTATGTCTGTCGTGTGTTACCGTCTTGACGCGTCTCTATCATCCGCAGCATAGCATCCCTTTTCATACACGCTGTCCTCGGTCTTGTTGGACTATCAGTCAGTTGAGAGTTCGCGCTGACCTCGGAGGAACCTCCCGCGGAGGCGGCTGCCAGCGGCTCGGGGCGTGTCGTCCTCCTCCGGCTTGATTATCGCCAGGATGCTCTCCCCCATGGCCTTGCGGACAATGGGGGGAATCGGCACCTCCTCAGGCCTATCGTTGTGACAAACAACACATGCATGCATACATATTTCAACGACGTTTCAGCGTGTACTAGTGCAAGTATGCAATGCATGCGATGCGATGTCATTTGCTTACCGAGGTGTGCGCTTGTAGGCAGGGCGGTAGTTCGTCGGGATGATGAAGGGGTCGTGGGCCTCAGCGTCGTCGAGCAGCTGAATGCCTGGCACCCACAGCGACAGACGGCTGCCGCTGACTCGAGTCGACATGACGGACGTCGACCGGTGACTTTGCACTGAAAAGAAGAAGCAGAATGCGCATCAGCGATGACGGCAGAGGGCTCTGCTCTCGAAGAAAAGCTCTGGGCGGTTTTTCGACCCGCAAGAAGCTCGCTTGGACATTCCGTGAAACCGGTATCTCTCCAGCGGGGACGAAAAAGGTGAAATGGGGCGGGAAGTGAGGCAGCACATCAAATCTACTCATCTGCTTTACATGCTACTCCTTCAGTGATACCGTTGTTTCACAGAAGCATGGGCGACCTGGAGACGCACACGTTGGCTCCACTGTTCAGACATACACGTAAGGGAGCTTGCTGACTATGACAATGAGGACGATTGTCACAGCAGATCTTCCCTCGCCTTTTGATACGTTCCTCGTATCGTCACTCTTCATCTGTGCGGATGTGCGTGCAGGCTGGAGTGAGACCGAGTGGAGTGAGACCCCTCTGAATGGACCCCGTGTGTTGGCGCTGTTTAGTGTAGAGGTCTCTGACATCGCTGAGGGCGAATCAGGTGAGGGAATGGAGAGACAAAGGAGCACCCACCGCCCCATTTGCAGCTGCCCCGGCCGGCTTGCTTGTGTTCCATCTGTGTTTGCAGTTGCCCTTGTGCTTGGCACGCGAGACCCCATCGCCATGAGTCCCCCGTCGCCGACTTGCCCGAGGTGGTCTCTGTCTGTGGTCCTCCCTTCCGAAAGCAGGAAGGATCGTGAAGGGGTGTACAGTCGCAGCGACTTCGTAGTGAGGTGCAACTACAGCTACGGCATCATCGGAGCCGACGGACAGCTCAAGCGCCGCGAAGAGGGAGGAGGGCGGCGGCTGATGGCGGACGGCACGCCTCATCTAGTCTTCGTCAAGGACACATATGGGATGTGGGAGGGCAAGAGGGGTTGGGTGTCGCTGAAACCAGCTGAAGCCTCCGCACCGACGGTGAGTGATGAGGCAACCACACACCAGTGAGGCAGAGAAGACACAACAACTGTGGTGCGCGTGTGTGTCCATCAATCAGGGGCCGTCCGAGTCGTTCGTCTTTGGGTCATCCCCTCCTCCAGCGCTCTACGCCACTGTGCCGCCCGACCAGCCCCCCACCTTCCCGGACCGAGTGAAGATCTGGCGACCCTCCAGTGCTTGGTCGGATGGCACCCCTAACGTCATCGATTTCCGCGGCGCGAGCCAGCTGACGAGGCAGCTGGTTGTCCACATCGCCTGCAATGCCATCAGTGAGGGGTCAGCCCGAGACCTCATCCACCGAGGCGCCGAGGCCAAGCAGCTCGTCATGACTGCGTGGCCCAGTACGGCCGACCGCGACATGAGCCTGCCGCAGCTTGCCGCAGAGCACCTGGACGAGCCCGAGGCCGTCGGCGTGATGCGGGTGCTGCTGGACGCTGGCGCCCCGATCCTCCCACCAACCGGACACAGCGACCGCGACAGCGCAGTTCACACGGCCGCGGTGAAGGGCAAGTGGCGTGTGCTGGACGTCATGCTGGAGCCGCAAGACGGCATCTCAGTTGCCGGACACCGCCTGGTGGCGGCGGTGTGTCGCAGCAAGTCGAGCTCTGCCGACAAGCTGCGTGTGGTCAAGATGCTCGGCGAGCGGGACGTGACGGTGCTGTCGGAGAAGGGCGACGACGGGTGGCGGCCCATCCATCACTTCAGCTCAAGGCCACTGAGAAAAGAGAAGCTGCAGAAGCAGCTCATCGACTACTTCGCCGAGAAGCTGGGGGCGGATGTCGTCAACACACCCGTCCAGGTCCCTCCGGTTCAGCCGCCTGCCATCTCTTTCTATGGAGATGACGGCAGCCGGCCCCTCTCTCTAGCTCATCTGACGTACGGCACGTACCGGAACAGAGCGGATGCGACCATTGAGCGTCTCTATCGGTATGGGGCGGCGCGGCACATCAACACGCCCGACAGCCAGGGCAACACGGTGCTCAGGAATGCGGCAGCCCGATCTGAGTGCCCTAACGAAGCCCTCGTCGGTCTGCTCGAACACGGCGCGTCTGTGGCGACTGCCGGGCTCACACAGGCGCTTCCGGGCGGAAGACCGAGGGGGCTCATTCACCCGGGGGAAAGACCCAGGCTGCTCACGGCATACAGTGCCTTCCTCAACGAGTCCATCCCCCGCCTGGCCCTGCAGACCATCAACGAGGCCCTCCGCCCATCCCGCAGCCTCGTGGCGTCCCTCACTCAGCCCATCCCCCTCCGCAGCCGCACCATCGCCCTGCCGTCTGACGTCCTGACGATCATCAACAGCCATCTCGCCCCCACCAGCCAGACCGACAGCCCGCCCCCTCCCATCCCCATCGGCGATGAGCCCATCGGCACACGAATCAACCAAGCCGTGCACCAGTACGTCACGGTCGCAGCGCGTGTGATCTGCCAGCCGGTGCAGCAGCAGCAGCAGCAGGAGAGGCACGGCAACGTTCGTGTGGTGGGGGGTGCCGGCCTCGCTCCGCTGCGATGCTTCGCCGTAGGCGGCGCCGCCCAGCCGCAGCAGCACATGGGCGTGTGCGAGGTCATCGCTCGGGCAGTGCGGCTCGAGGCGTCGCGATACGGCATCGGCCTGACCCTCCGCCACAACGTCATCGATGACACCCATGTGCTGGGCGCATTGGCGGTCGTGTAAGTAGCGACAGACCGATAGACCAGACAGACAGTCTGTGATCTATCCGTAGAGTTTTTTTTTCTTTTTTTTGATCGACCGACTGATTGGGTTGTGCAGCGCGTGGGCATGTGTTGTGTACGAGACACAGAAATGCACCCAAATTTGGTGATACACAAGATAGAGCGGATATGGTTGAGTGACTCAGGTAGCCGGGTCGTTTAAGTGGGGTGGGTCGGTGGGTGGGTGGCGCTTTCGGTGCAGGCGACGCCATGTGTCTGCGGGTGGGGGACGGGGCGCTTTATGTAATTCGTCTGCGCTGGAGATGTGCAGTCGTTCATTCTATGTCATAAGCAGTGCATAGAACACCGAGAGCGTGAGGGACTGGGATAGCATTGACTCAAAAAGCGTTTTATGTAATTCCTGCAGCTTTGTGTAATTCCTACGGTTTATGTAATTCGTGTAGTTTATGTATACATGTGTATGCGTGTGTGTGCATGTCTGGGTGTATGCGGTCAAGCGAGGGGGTGTTTGGGATTCCATGTGCACAGAACACAGCTCGAGTGTGAGTGGCTTCGATATGACACGTAACCAACATGAATGACACCGATGGCCAGCGGGCCGAGAAAGAAGCATGTGTGTGGACGAGTGGACGAGTGGACAGGGCAGGGATGGTGGATGGATGGACGGAGAGTAGCATGGAACAGAGAGAAGCATTCATCCCCCCACCCCCCCACCGTCACTGCCGAATCCTTTCTAGTATAGGACTTAGTAGGACTCTCCAAAAGTCCATCCACATGCACACGCCTCACACGCACAGACACATACACACACAGCGACACAAATGCATTCACGTCTCACCACCCTAGCGACACGCTGCACCTCCCTCCCGCAGCGGCCCCCTGCGGCCGGCTGAAGAAGGCCTTGTGTGCAAACACGCCACCCACCCAATCTCTATCGTACTGCCACAGGGAGGGGAAAGACGGGGGCAGCAGGGGACGTCTGTGCTGCCCACGAGGACGGTCGTGTGAAGGCGGCAGGTTGGCCTCCGCGCAGAACCAGAGATCCTCGTCGTGTGGGTCATCGCTGATGCGGGGGCCGGCTGCACGCGCGTGGCCTGTGGGAGAATCAGACAAAGAGGTGAGCTGAGAGGTGAGACACGCAGACGGTGGCCTGGCTTGCTTACGGAGAAAACACTGGTTGGCTCTCTTGTTGTAAAGCCACACGCGGCAGAGGGGATGCTCGCAACATATCGACTGGCACTCCTTCCGTGATACGTCCTGGCCAGCACAGACACACAGTAAGTATCACACTTGTCTATCTGTCTGTCTGTCTGTCTGTGTCTCACCATGTCTTTCGTGTTTTCTCACCTCTTGCTGCAGCTGTTTGAAGAATTTCCACCTGTCGGCTGGGTGGATGCGCAGACCCCTCAACGGACGATCCAGCTGCCGACCCGCATCACACACTGACACACACACACACAGAGAGAGAGAGAGAGAGAGATCTTCGGCTCGTTGGGTGGCCATCTCAGCGTGTGGACCTTTTTCATAGAAGTCCATGTTTCTCTCCTCCATTTTGTCGACTGCCCTCGGCGATGTGACCTCTTTGTCCTGCGCAAGGATGCAGTAGCTGTGCTCACGCTGCCACAAAAATCCCTGCAGATCACACAATACGCCGGCATCTCTCACTCACCGCCTCTTGTCTGTTTCCCCTCCCTCTGAACTCACTTGGCAGCGGTGTGCCCCGCCATAGAATTTGAGGGCACATGCGCGAGCGCACACCGCTTTGGTGCGCTCTACTGCAGGCAAGAAAGCACCGCAGACAGACAGACAGGTGTTATCGCAGTGCCATGCAGGCTCCTCACTTGCGTCTCCCTGGTCGAGCGGATCTGCAAAACGCACCGACTCCAGCAAGTGTCTTGTCATGGCGCGCCTGTCTATCCACTTCACCCACCGTATTCAATAAGGTTGCTGTCGATGCCCCAGCAAAAGACCTCCCCGGCGTACGCGTCACACAGCTTGCCCATCGCCTTGAGGTCGCCCTTGCAGGTGTATGACTTCATGGTGGCCAGCGCAGTGGCCCCCGCCCTGATAAGCTGCGACCTCTTGAGCGCAGTGGCCCCAATCGTAACAGGATGACCAGTTCTTCTGACGACAGCTGAGGAACGCCGAGACACATACGCAGATTCGCAGAGACAGAGACCATCAGTGTCATGGGCATGTATGTGGCCTGAGTTACACTCTGCATGGCGCGAATCTGACGGCGAATCCTGGCGTGATTGACTCGCTGCCCTCGACGCCGCAATACAGGTGGGCGGCGGTCTGGTTCAGCTGATGTGAGACGGGAGACATGGCATCATCAGGGATAAGTGGTGGTGTTTACATGGTAGAGTCCATCTTTGCAGAAGTAGAATGTGAAGTCCGGTGCGCACGGCTCCTCGCCACTCAGCAAATCAGTGTTGTACAGAACCATGTGGTACTGCAAGAGGACACACCGATATGCCCTCCGTCAGTCGTGTCTCTGGGTCTTTCTCTCCTCACCGTGCCACCGAAGGCCTCAAGTCCAGGTGGGAAGTCCGATGCGGTCCACCTCCTGGGTATGCCCAGCTCCCTTTCCCACTTGATGCGATTCCCACACATGCGATCCGTCACACACTCTCCAAACCCCTCGTCACTGCTCTCTGATGCCTCCCCTTCCAGGGCTTCTCGTGACGATGCATTGACGACCACGGGCTCCTGTTCCATATGCGATAATACGATTCCTGTGACACAAGAGGACACAATGGTGGTTGCAGGCTGACATCAGTCGGGCTGCCGGTGTCCGTACCTGGACATTTTTTGGGCCCAGACACGGCCTCTAGCAGTGTCATGGACTTCCCCTCGTCCCTGGTCTTCAACAAGTGGCACGCCCTCGTCACATTGCCACTATTACTATTGTGTCCGGAGGTCATGTGAAAAGTAGTAAAGTGCTGGCAGAGGGGCGAGGCCCCACAGGCCTGCTGGCACGCGTAGGGCGACAGGGGGGAGGGGAGGCTCCCTGGGGAAAAGGGCAGCTCATCGCCGTGATAAACAGTGTCATACTCAAAACACGTATCCGCTGGGAAAGGCAGACGGAGAGAGCAGTGAATCACTCGGGCACCTATGCATCCCATGCACACCTGTGTTGGCGTCTCCCGAGACCATCCCGGCCCTCCCAATCTCGCCCGTCTTGTCACTCTTGAACCAACACAACTGTTTCGCTGTGTCGAACACAAAGTAGGTGCAGGTACTGAACGCACGGCAGTCATTGCGGCAGGCAAACGACGAGGGACGGGACAGCGGCGTGAAGGTCAAATCAGGGCCGAGAAATGTCGGGTCATACGAAAACGGACGAGCGGAATCTGAGCACAACAGGGAGTCACACACACTGCTCTGTGTGTGGCTTTATATATGCTGACCGGCAATAGGCTGGAAGAATGTGGGCCCCTTCGTCCTGCCATCCGCCTTCATCTGCATGAGCCTCCTCTGCATCCTGCTCGGCCTGCTGACCTCCCCCCGCGGCCACCACCCGGCTACCCACCGCCACACCTGCACACAAACCACAAACCACAAACACCGAAGATGTCCGTCAGAGATGGCCCCTGACGGCCCCCCTCACTGTTTGCAGCGGGATGATGGTGCCATACGAGCCCTGGGGGACGCTCGCAACCGACAGCAGCAGGGTGGCCACACGCACCAGCCGCATCAGTGGCAGAAGCGCCGGACTCAGCATTGTGGCTGCATTCGGCTCAGTTCCTTCTCCGGTTTGAGAAGAAGAAACCGGGAAAAGGAGAGGCGGGGGAGGAACTGAAGGGGGAGAAGCGGTTTCACAGGGGATCGCGTCCTAAACCCTTCCTTTTTGCGAGCTCAGAGATCTAGGCTCCCTTTCTTCCTTTCTCCGTCGTTCTAGCTGTTCTGGCCCTTCCTGGCCCTCCCTAGGCGGGTTTACCCTCCCGCCACCTCTCCGGAAGGCAGTCCTGGCTCGGTCACTCTCTCAGTCATTCCGTCTGTTTTCCCCTCTTCTGACTGAGAGTTCAGCTCCCTGCTTCCTTTCCCTGTCCTCTGCCGGTCATCCGCGTTCACCGCGGTGTGACGGTGTGATTTAGTGGCCTCCGGTCGAAGGCAGTTGGCCATTTGGTGAGTGGTGACGATGGCGGATGCGGGTGTGAGTCGCCACCTCGCCCGTCTGGCGCACACGCACTGCGGAACGGAACCGCTACTCCACCACATATTCGAGAACTCCGCCATTGCCTACCCCACCAACATCGCCGTCGAGTAGGGAAAGGACTCCTACAGATCTGCGCGTGCACCGTGTGCATGGTGTGCGTGTGCGTGGATGTGTGTGTCAGGTGTGATGAGGACGGCATCGTGTGGACGTATGGGGAGCTCAATGCGCGCGCCAACGAGCTGTCGATCCTCATCCGTGCGTGTGGCGTGGGTCCTGACGACCTGGTGGGCGTCTTCCTGCCCAGAGGAGGGCAGTTCTACGTCTGCATGCTGGCCATCCTCAAGGCGGGAGGGGCCTATGTCAGCATCGACCCCGAGTACCCCGCTGGTGAGCCATTGGGATGGGGAATCAGAGAGAGGGAGGGAGGAAACAGACGGATCAGGACGGCTTGTGTGTGCGTGGGGTGGATGGTTTGTGTGTGCAGAGCGTGTCCGGTCTACGATCGAGGACAGTCACGCCAAGCTCGTGTTGACCCTGCCCGAGCTCCTTTCCGTCATCACCGACATGGGCGGCGAGGCGCCCGCCGCTGATGTGGCCGACATCAGTGGACTGCACGCGTGGTCTGCCGCCCTGCCCAAGGGCACACCCTGCGCCCTCACCCTCGAGAAGGCCAAGTGAGCACACAACGGAGGAGACTCGTATGCACCATATATCCCTCCCTAATTGATTTGTGTCCTTCCCCCCTGACAGCGAGTTGATCGCATCGAGCAGTGACTGGACTCTGCCGTGTTTGAAGCCGGCCGTTGGCCCATCGCACGCTTGTTACGCCATCTTCACGTCGGGCAGCACTGGCCGGCCCAAGGGTGTGTGCATCGAGCACCAGTCGGCCGTCAACTTCGTCCTCGGCGAGCAGAGGGCTTTCCCCACCAACCACTATGACAGGTACAATAGGCAGGCCATGCCGAGAGAAAAGTCCACAGGCACCGCTCCCCACCCATGTGTGTTGCTGTGTTGGTGCTGCTGCAGAGTGCTCCAGGGTTTCTCCACTTCGTTCGACGCGTCCGTTGAGGAGATCTGGTACGCTCAACACACACATCACACACACCGTCATACGGGCAGCACGCCGTCACTGCATCCGATGTGTCCATCCATCCCTCCCGCAGGTTGGCGTTCGCATCTGGTGCGGCCCTGGTCGTCGGCACCAAGGAGACGATGCGCGCGGGGCCTGCCCTCGGCACCGTCCTCGCCAGCAAGGGCATCACCGTCTTCTCCACCGTCCCCACGGTAGGTGCCAACCCACGAGCTCCTGCAGCCAGGGGTGAACTGTTTGTGTGTGGTTGTGCAGGTGTTGCGTGTGGTAGAGGACATCCCAGCGCCGCCCCTGCTGCGCATCGTCATCACTGGCGGGGAGGCCTGCCCCCCTGAGGTGGTCAGCAAGTGGTGCGCACTCGGACGACAGTTCCTCAACACATACGGTGGGCGAGACACATGAGAAAAGACACCAAAGCACGTGACATGCTAGAACGTCCTGTGTGTGGTTGCCTCGACTTGCCGAGCAGGCCCCACTGAGGCCACCGTCGTGGCGACCTACACTGAGCTGCAGCCGGACGTGCCCGTGACGATCGGCAAGCCCCTCCCGGGCTACTCTGCACACATTGTGGACGACCACGGCCAGCCGTGCACCGACCCCCGGAAGCCCGGAGAGCTCCTCGTCGGAGGGTAACCCAGCGACAGACACTACCACCCCCACACATGACAGACATGGCTCCTCACCACACACGTCTCTCTGTGCGTGCAGTCGTTCGGTTGCCCGTGGCTACATCAACCGTCCTGATTTGAACCCCGAGAAGTTCATCCCCGACGGCCACCCCCACCCGCAGCCCAACTGGGTCTTCCTCGCACAGGCCGCCTCGTGCGTCTCCGACAACGCTCCCACGCCCGTCTCCATCGAGCGCGCCGGCGGCGAGAAGGAGAGGGAGAGGGAGAGGGACGGCAAGCTCACCCGCATGGTCATCACACAGATGGCCCGCTCACGGTCCGACCGCTCCGACACCTCCGTGCCGTCCATGACGACGCTCGTGAGCTCTGCCAGGGGGGAGGAGGAGAGCATGAGCGTGTCTGAGGGGGCGAGCAGCGAGGCCGGGGGGCGGCCCATGCGGCTGTACCGCACGGGCGACCTGGTGCAGTGGAATGACAAGGGCGAGATCGAATTCCTGGGCCGCATCGACTCGCAGGTCAAGATAAGGGGGTTCCGTGTGGAGCTCTCGGAGATCGAGTCGGCCATCGCTCGCATGGAGGGCGTCGGCAACGTGTGTGTCGTCGCGAGAACTGACATCGGCAAGAACGGATCCAAGACGTGAGCAGCCAGCCACTCGTGCACCTGCTTGCATCTCCCTTACGAGTGAGTGTTTCACTCTCTTTGGTTGGTTTGTTTCTGTCTGTCTGTCTGCAGGCTGATTGCCTACATCGAGCCCAAGCCCGGCACTGCGCAGGACGCCCTCACGCCCGACCGTCTCAAGGCCCACGCTGCGTCGATCCTGCCGGACTACATGGTGCCATGCCGATACGTCACGGTCGCCACCATCCCCCTCTCGCCCTCGGGCAAGGTCGACCGCAAGGCCATCGAAAAGTTCCCTCCACCCGGACCTGAAACGGTGCGCACACATCCCACGCCAGACACACACGTGTGCCTGTGGCTGTATTCCCCTCTCTCTCTCTCTCTTTTCCGTGTGTGTGTCGCTCGCAGGCGCCCTGTGGGAACGCCCATGAGGGCGAGTACCTGGCGCCAGAGGGACCCCTTGAGGCCTTCCTGGCCGAGACCTGGCAGGACCTGCTGGACGCCCCGCGTGTGGGAGCGACTGACGACTTCTTCAAGCTGGGCGGCAACTCCCTCAGCGCCGCGCAGCTCATCTCGGCACTGCGCAAGAAGATCCCCATGGTGAGAGAGCAAGCAAGACACCGTGTTGCGCATGGTGCACCTACGCATCTCCATGTCGTGTGTGTGTGTGTGTGTGTTTGGGTCGGCAGGTGCCCACGGCGGTTCGCGACCTCTACGACACCAAGACGCTGCGCAACCTTGTAAGCCCACTCCCACATCGCGATGGGAGCCCATCAGACATGCACGTGTGTGTGTGTGTGTGTGTGTTCTGTGTCACTGGCCATCAGGGCGTGCGCATCCAGGAGGAGTGCCGGCTGAACCACGTCCCACTCGACTGCCTTGACGAGGAGGGCGCCGGCAAGACGCACACGACGCGGCAGCTCGGCACGGCGGCAGTGTCGCAGTGGACCAGGTGGGCCGTGTGGACCATCCAGCTGATCGTACTCACCATCATGGGTGGTTCGGCGGCCGCCTGGACGGGCGTGGGCATCTACATGACGTCAATGCTGCTGGAGGACTACACCCTGAGCTACCTGCTCGTGACCTTCCCGATGTTCGCCTTCGGCTCCTTCGCCATGTACCTCGTCACCGCAGCCTTCCTCAAGTGGCTCATTCTCGGCAACCTGCAGGAAGGGGAGCACCCCCTGTGGGGATGGTTCTACTTGAGATGGTGGATCGCCCACACAATCGGCATGCCCGCCGGGATCTTCGCGAGCACGCCCATCGCGCCTGTCGTGCTGCGGCTGTTCGGGTGAGTGGGGATGGCAGGGAGAGCGTGTTAGTGTGATGGTCGGTCGCATCACCGCGTGTGTTGTCAGGTCTAAGGTGGGTCGGAATGTGCACATTGCGTCCACCCTCGTCAGCGGATATGACCTCCTCGAGATCGAAGACGATGTGGTCAGCCAGCACATCATCCCTCCCTCTCCCCTCTCTCCCCAACAATGACCTCATTTCTCTCCGTGGTGTGCAGGTGGTCAACGTGGGCGCGCGTGTGTCGTGTGTCGAGGTGGAGGACGGCAAGCTCAAGTTGTCCCGTGTGCATCTGGGCCGTGGCTCTGTGTTGGGGATGCGCTCCTGCGTCAAACATGGCGCGTCTATGGAGGATGGAGCCACCCTCGGCGACCTCGCTGTCCTGATGCCAGGTGCGTGATCGTGATGATTCGCCCACAGCACACGAGAGAGAGAGCCACACACCGTTGTCTCTTTCTCTCTCTGCGTGTGTCTGCAGGTCAGACTGTTCCTGCCCATCATCGGTTTGAGGGCGCGCCCGCAGCCGTTGCAGTGGTGGACGCAGAGGGGGGTCACCCCGAGATCACCCACCCTGCCAACAGCGACAGCCACACTAATCTGGCTGAGCACAAGCAGGTGGGTGCGTGTCCGCGTGTCTCTCTGTGTGTGGGAAGGAGAAGTCACCTGTCTGTATGGCGGGGGTGTCGGTGTGGTGTGTGTGGTGTGTGCAGGTGGGTGTGTTGGTCCAGCTGGCCTTCACTGTCGGCTTCCTGCTGGCGTCCTACGGGCTGAGTGTGGTCCTCATGGCGCCCATCACCTTTGGTATCTGGGTCACCATCACATACGGCTTCGTCATCTCGATCATCTTCGCTCCCGCCTTCGTGATTGCCGGGCTCACCGCACTCTTCACCTTCACCGTAAGCTTGCAAAACAGAGATTGTGTCGCGGCCTCGTCCAAGTGTGCAGCCATCTCCCCTTGTTGTGTGTCTGTGCTGTGCTGTGTGCAGGTGATTCTGAAGTGGCTGACGGTGGGGCGCATCCGCGAGGGGTCCTATCCTCTGTATGGGTGGTTCTACCTGCGCTGGCTGATGAACTACACCATCCAGCAGATCACCACCGTCGTGTGCCACCAGTTCTACTCCACCATGTTCACGAGGAGCTACTTCAACATGCTCGGCGCCAAACTCGGTAAGTGCACTGCAGCGCGCATGACCTTACCACTTAAACAGACACACCTGTGTATGTGTGTGTGTGTGTGTGTGGTGCAGGTCGCCGTGTTGAGATCAGCGATGCCCGCGAGTGGACCCCCGATATGCTCGACATCGGTGACGACTGCTTCGTGGCAGACTTCGTGGGCCTCGGCGGGTGGCGAGTGGGCCACGACAGGCACATGACACTCAAGAAGGTCCGTCCGGCACACACACATGCACATGCAGTGCAGACATCCACGCACTCACAGACAAACACGTCAGTGGCTGGTCTGTCTGTCTGTCTGTCTGGGGGCAGGTGGTCCTTAAGGAGAGGACCTTCCTTGGCAACAACGCCTGTGTGCCGGGCGGCTCCCACTTCGGCGAGAGCGTGCTGCTCGGCGTCATGTCGCTGGCGCCCCCTCCCGCCTTGTCGTCCACCCCACACACCTCCTGGCTCGGCTCGCCCCCCTTCCGACTCCCCAACCGGGCCATCGTCAAGACCGACGCCGACCGGCTCACCTTCCACCCCCCGCTCTACCTCTACCCTATTCGTGCGTCCATCGAGCTGCTCCGGACCTTCCTGCCCCCGCTGGTGTCCACCTATGCCTTCCTGCTGGCGTGGTGGGTCTTCCAGGACGTCCTCTACGCCTACCTGGGCATGCCATCGATCGCCCTCGCCCCGGCGGTGTTCCTCATCTACGGCGGCATCAACGCGATAGTGGCGGTGCAGGGCAAGTACCTGCTGGTGGGCCGATACAAGGAGGACACCAATGCGCCCCTGTGGTCGCCATTCGTGTGGCGGGCGGAGCTGAGCACTGCACTGGAGGAGGACTTGGCGTACGCCTCGTTCATCCGGATGCTCTCGGGGACGCCTTTCATGTCGATGTGGTTCCGGCTGCTGGGCGCCAAGATCGGCCACCGTGTGTACCTGGCGACTCCCCATCTGACTGAGCCTGACCTGATTGAGATTGGGGACGACTGCTGCATCAACGCGGATGTGACGGTGCAGGGCCACCTGTTTGAGGACCGAATCATGAAGATGGTGAGTGGTGTGTTGAGTGAGGGAGGGAGGGAGGCAGACAGACAGAGAGAGAGAACAGGTGGGCGGCTGAGGGATGCTATGCTTGTGTGGCTTGGCTGATGTTTGTGTCTAGGGCCGCATCAAGATCGACAGGCACTGCACCGTCGGCACGCGGGCCGTCGTTCTCTACCAGTGAGTGAATGGATGGATGGAGAACGCCCAGCACACTGATCTGCCTGTCCGTCTGTTATCTGCAGCACACACATGCACGAGGGTTCCTACCTGGTGGGCAGCTCCTTGATGATGAAGGGCGAGGAGTTCGGCAGCCACTCGCGCTTCGGGGGCATTCCCGCCAAGCCGCTCCTCGAGCTGCCGCCCCGCCAGATCCTCACCAAGACCTGCAGCCACCCCGCCAGCCGCGCCAGCAACTTGGACCGTGGGGACACCCCACACACCAACGGCAGCAGGGTCAACTACGACGACACACAGGTATGGTGGCCAGACTGGAAGAGACTTTGAGACATTGATGGTCGGCCATGTGTGTGTGGGTGCCTGCGTGTCTGTGTGTCAGTCGTCGATGCGCCATTCTGAGAAGCAGAACCCCCTGCCAATGTTTTTCCCTGCGCGAGAAGACTCCTTCTTCTCCTCCCCCATCAGAGCGGTGTCGCCCATGAGCGACCATGGCAAGGGCAGGCGGTGCTGTGGGCTCTTCGTCTAAACAGCTGGCTGGGCTGAACAGCCGGGGAAGCAGCTTGTGGCCGGTGTTAGGAAGGGTGGATGGATGGATCTGTGTGTGAGCTGCTGCACTAAGTCATGTGTGTGGTGTGGTGTGGTGTGGTGTGGCGTGACATGTGGCTCACTGTAATACTTACTGTCTGTCTGAGCTAGACTGACTGGATATGGCTTGGCTGCGTTTTGTCCTTCCTGTGCTCGGCTGTGTCTGGGTGGGCGGCGGCGGGGGGGGGGGGGGGCAATT